CATTTGTTTTCATCGTATACAAAGTCTTTATAATAAGCAATTCTATTTCAGTTGTCAGCTCTGAGTTCTATTTTGATTAAAATTTAATGAACGGAATGTATTACGGATTCAAGTAGATCTGTTCACTGACTATTTCCTTTATTTATATGCAGTTTCAAATTTAAATATAAAAACGTATATTTTTAGTAACCAGTAAAACATAACTGAGGTAAAATTCAGAAACTTTCTTATACTATGAACTAAAGTGAACTTAAAAGAAATCTTTTCCATGCTTTTTACAGGTTGTTACAGTTATCAGATAAAAACTGTTTTGTTTAAGGATTTCATCATGAGCTGACATTGGTTAGAGAACCATTGGAAAACCACTAGGGAGTACTGGACAGGTGTTTCCTACGTCCTAGTTTGGGACTCTTCACCAGTACGCACCCACCGGGGTTCGAACACAGGACCTTCTGGTTACAAGGCGAGCTAGTTGGCAGACCATTAAGCCATTGGGACTCGACCCAACCAGTCAATTCCTACAAACTAACACTTGAATATCGATGAGATGCTCACTAGCGACTCGCCCTATTCAGGTAAGTAGTTACCTGGGGTTCTAGTGAGAAGTCGTGAGCAGTAGGGTGCAGCAGGTCGGGTGTGAGGACAAATACTCGCCGAAGAAATTGGCTAGGGGTCGCGCTATATCGTGAATAAGCAGAAGTTGGAATTCGTGCACTAACCATTGGATCGGGTCCCAGTGGCGTAATGGTCTACGAGCTCGCTTGCCTGGTCCTGGGTTCGAACCCTGGTGGGTGCGTAATGATGAAGAGTCCCAAACTAGGACGTAGGAAACACCTGTCCAGTACTCCCAGGTTTTCCAATGGTTCTCTAACTAATGTCAGATCATGATGAGATCCTGTAACCAGTCAAATCTTTACAAACTAACAATCGAAAAATTGTTTTATAAATGTAATAACAGTCAGGTATACAGCAGATGAATTTTAATGCTGAATGTGACTTAAGGGTTTAAAATCAATTAGGGCAACAAGATAACTGATATTTGAATGAAAAACAAGCGATTGCAAATAGTATGAATTGGATGAAGACAGTGATTAACCAAAAAATATTCATCCTATACTCTTAAAGTATAAATGATAATTTAATTCGTGGTTGCAACCAATCAGTGTTCAACGTGAAAATTAAAGCTAATTTATTTAATATGATCCTTTCCTGACGCATATCCCGTTCTAACTTTTCCCGTGGGTCAAGTCATAGAATGAATGCGATCAAACAGGTTCATCTATGGATTCGAGAACACTAGCTAGCTCTTTTTTCAGAAAGGGCGACACTATATCCATAAAACGCTGAATTCTATCACACTTGTTAGTCATGGGATATTACGCTGACGATAAATGTAATTTTCATCGTTGTACAAGGCATACCGAAGGTGTATTGAAGTATATAGTTCATACAGGTGGAGCTGTGCAAACAAGGTTATACAAGCCGGCACTATGTCCTTATAATGAGCACGTTCAGATGTAGCTCTCCCCATAACCATTGTTGGACTAAGTATTATTCCAGTCTACAGAGGTTTCTATTCCACTTCGGCCTCTTTTTCTAAGTAATTTCGGCTATAGTGTTCAACAAATTACATAATGTTTCGTAGTTTATACTCTTTGTATCAGCATCCTTCAAAAACTACCATATTTCCCAGACAAATAAACACTAGCAAGTTGTTCTTATATGTGATAGGCGATAATATTTCTTATCTGAAAACAGGACTCCACTTTATTCATTTTCTAGATTTTATTGTGAATCAACAGTCATCATCACCACGTTTTATCTAACTGTCGCTGTTATTAGTTCGAGTAAACATTAATACTTACTCAATAGACAGGCATTGGAGAGATATCTGACTTTTATCACCTTGTGAACTTTAGTTAGTCGTTATGAAAACATTTGTAACTTAGTTTTGATTATGGGACAAAATTAGTATGATCTAACGAATATATAATGGATAGACTGAATAATGAATAAAGGCTAGTAAATGAGTAATTATTTCATTTTTCAGACAACCTTTCGACAGACTTTCTTCTTATGATTTGAAATCTGAAATAACCACAACTTACTGATTAGACAACTATTTATTTTCACATTTATGTGTAATACTACTTAAGAATGAGTAACCTAGAAACTCACTGGAAATAGTAAAATGATTTTAGAATTCTATCAAGAAAAACTGTGTGTGGAATGAAAATCGAAGGTGTTTTTCCTGCTGATTAAAGCAGACGTGACTGAGTTCACAGCTCAACAGTTTCTGTCATTTGACACAATTCGACATAAAACCGAAGCTAAAATCAACGTAGTGTGTGCAACAGTGTCTTGCAAGCTTACCATGTTTCAAACATAGCTAGTGCAATTTCAGCACCCATAAAGGAAACTAGCAAACCATGTTGTTAGTTATCATTCTTACTAGCTCAGTGGTGAAGACCTTTAATGCAGAATTACTTTTATTTGAATTATAACCCAAAGTTGAAAAAATTAGAATATACTGGAAAATGTATTCATACTCTTATAATAAATTGTACTCTTTGGCTCATTCGATTTAGAATACAGGCAGGAACGACAAAAGCACTAGGATTAACTGAGCTCATGTTTTATTATTTCAAGGACTCTTCTCAACTGGTTACAACCTGAACAGTACCAACATTATAAATTAAATTAAAGATCTGAACATACCTGTTTCTACTATGATAAGGAGTAACTGATTGGAACTAAGAGTAACATTGGTCAGGAATGATGTAAGAGTGAAAAGGATTGACTATTTATAGAAGAATTGCATGACTAAGCTTGGAAACAAAAGGACAGAGTTCAACAGATGTTTTGTGGGTAGAAACAAAGTTTAACTAAAAAGAGTATCAGGAGTGATAGGTTACGTAACCAAAGACAAACACGTTTATATAAAACAGATAAAACAGGGGGTTAGGATGAGTCATGCTTAGACGGAAAAATAAAAGTTTCTAAGCGGGACGGAAGATGACGCAGTGATATTTTTATGCTTTGTTATCATCAAGACAGTGCAAGATTCACCACTGTCTCTTTTTGCGTACATAGATTTGGTTTTAGCCGATTGCCTCAGCAAAACGAATCACGCTAGGTTTCTTTTGTCTGTTGATTATTTTGAACTTTTTCAGATTGTTCAGTTAACATTTCCCACTGAAGAAGGCGATGCCTAGGCATACGTAGCACATGTCCTAACCATCTCAGTCGATGTAACTTCGCAGCCTCGTCGATTGATTTCCCTTCGACCAAAGCCTAACTTCAATATTCCTTATCTTATTATACCACTTAACACGGGAGACAAAGTGCAAGCACCTATGATCAAAAGCAACTACTTAGCTTTTCCATGTCTTACACTTTCAATGTCCATGTGTCACTCAATGCCGTGAAGGAGGACAGAGCGGACTGCTGAGCAGTACACACGTCGTTTGGTCGACAGCCAGTCGGACATCACGTCTATGCCAGAGACGGTGTAAACTGGCATATATGAAACAAGCCTTCTGTATCCGAGCTGATAATCCGTCAGCAATCAACCCATCGGCACTGGCTGATGCAACTTTCCAAATAAGTGAATTGATCGACACGTTCTACCACTTCACTCCCCATTTCTAAGTCAGGAGTCTTGGACAACATTTGTAGACACACCTTGCTAACGAGTGCCAACAAGGTGCAAGGCTTTCTGCTGATTGCCTCCAACCATCTAACAAATATATAATCAAATTTTACGACATGTATTGTCCAAAAACATCATATCTTTCAGGCAAAACTCCATCTTTTATTAACACTATCTAAATATTTAAGAATGACAAATCCAAATTCTTATTTCGTTTGCTGATAAGATTATACCCAAAAATTACTCTACATTTGTTAATCAACATTTCATAATCCCAGTGATATCACTTTGAAGTTCTTTCAAGTGGCACATAAAAAGGCTGATAATTACCAAAAATTAGCCTGTGCGAAGTTCTGAAGAATGTTGAAAAAAGGTTACTAAACCAAGCTAATTTTCATAATTGTAGAAGTTGGGAACTGATTAGATTTACAAAGCCTTTCTGTAAGGCACATACTCTTTCTATGCCTACATTCTAATCCACTTCTAATCAGAATTTTCATGTGTACTGTCTTTTTATATATAGTAATCATTGTTTGTTTATATATCTCATTATGTCTTACTTGATTGCATAATATCAGCTAGAAGTATGCTTCTCATAAATTCCATTCAGAATCAATTAGTGTTTAGAGATAATAAAAGTTGATGAAATGAAAAGTAAAACATACTTTGTGTTTAAAATGTTTTATGTTCTACTTAGTCTCCTTTATTAGATGGAACAGTAGAATAATCAAATATAAAAATAGAATTTTATTCGGGTTTTGAACTTCTGTCAGTATATATATATCCATTGAGTAGCGACAATTATTGTATGGAATCTTTTCAGAAACTCAAGCTCTTCTGACTGTTCAACTCAGACATTATCCATAATGCAAGATGTGTAATCACCTATGCAACACATTACTTTCCCACAGAAGACATATGAGTTATGTAACAAATTTAGTGAAATAAAAGAAACCTTTGGCAAATGAAGAGAATGACCCTCAGGATTGTACGAAATTTTTGAGGTTAGTACAAATAGAAATGTGTTAAGCAGTATACGTCTCTTACTGTAGCCAGCTGACATTTTTAGGCTTACATATAAAACTGGAATCTTCAAACAGCAAAACTCATGAGAATCCCAGCTTAAGGGCTAGGATTGAAAAATGTGTTTCATTGGCTCCTCCAAAATGCTCCAGGCTGACCAACTAACCGACTGAGCTCCATCATAATGATTTTTAATTTTGGTGCCGAATAATAATCTTTTAAGTTGCCTGCTAAATATATAAGCAAAATTAACTCCTTAGGTGATCAGAGTAATATATATATATGTCTATATATAATTAACCTTATTAGGAAAAGAAGTCCAATTCTGAGGATAAAATTGCTATATACTATACATTTGTACAATGTCTACATACATGTATTGACTTCATTTACATATGGACAAGAATAAAGTACTGTAATTACAGCGTAATTAAATACACACGAAAATAATATCAAGTACCTGTTAAAAAATACAATTCATTTTTTAAGTTTATCGCTTCGATATACCCAATATCACGTCTTAATTGTTCTGGTATCTTCTGTAACTGTCTAACAAATTCCTTATTTGATTCCTGTACAACTGAAGGCAGTTGTTCCTCTTCATCAACAACTGTTGTGGTCATTAGTTTTTCATGAAAATACCTTGTTCCCAATAGATTTCTAACAACATATCTGCACTGGATAAATAGTCTAAGAGGTTGTTTATTGATTAGTTGAGAAAATTTGTTATGATAAAAGCTAAAATGTGATAGAAATCTTTCATGTTCCAGTGTGTTAAGTGATGTGTTTTCATTGTGATAGCAACTGATGCCTATGTATCTAGTGAATGAATTCATGTCTAAGATATCTACTGCATTAGTTGGTAGTATACACAAACCTGAATAAACAAAATTTAAAAATAAAACTGTGAAAGACTGTAGGACTGGGGGAAGACTGTGCTCAGAACATCTGTCGTAGAAGTTCCACTTCACTAACTCGTAAATAAGTAGTGGGTAGAAGACATTTTTGACTACACCGTCAATATTTCTCATCTGTTGGTAATGATGTTGGTGATGATAATGATGATGATGAATGGATTTTCCAATATGAAAAAATAATTTATCTGTATGTTTGAGAAAAAATACCTTCGGCGGAATCATTCCAGCATTTAACAGCTGACGCAGAAGACCTGCATTATCAACAATCTCATCGTTAGTCCCCATACTGTAATGATGTAGTATGTTATTCAGTTGTATTGCAGCATTTTGAAATGTATGAGAAATAGTATCTGATTGAATACCTCCAGTTATCGGATACACCTCAGTGTTATCAATAATACGAATATCAGCTCCTTTTTGTAAAAGGCTAGCGAGAATTTTCGGATATATCCCAGGTTTATGGCTACATTTCGGTAGACACGTGAATACAGTCACTACAGATGTCAGTGTAGATGATTGTTCTGACGGAACATTTCTGAGGAAGAGATCTGTAACAGAAAGATATGTTTCGGTTGTTAATACACTTGTAGACAAATTATCTAGTTCATTGTTTGTATTCATCTTTTTCTGAACAGAATTGATGCTTATTCCAGCCCTTAGTAAAAATTCAAATGATTCCCATTGACCATCGTCTGCTATTTGTCCAAAAAGAAATTGTCTATGTACATTTGAAGTGGACTCATTAATTTTCATTTCTTTAAATGAATAATTATTTGAAATTGATTCATTAGAAATGTTTTTCAATTTAAGCGTGTTATTTTGACAATGAGCTGATTTTTTCAAATTATGGCAATGGCTGTGAGTTTCATAATTTGTTCTATTTTTATCTTTCCATTTGCGATATTTAATATACTTTCTTTGAATAATACGTGCTGACGATGAAGTGGATAGATCCAGGGTTTCAAAATTACTTTCAGTATTTTCATCTTTCGAACTTAGTGACCATTGAAACTCCTTGAGTTTCTTTCTGCTTTTCTGTTGTTTATCAATATGTTTATCATTATCTGTCGGTTCAATGTGATTGTCTACCGGTGAACAGTTCGTCTCTTTGACAAATGAATTATCTGTATTTTGTACAACTTTATTTTGATAATGTAGCTTCTTACCGATTTTATGCTTTGTTGCATTCAATAGGATAATTAGAAAAGACTTATACTTTGCTTTGTCATAAAATTTAAAGCTATATGCAAAGGTAGAGTTAAATTTTGTTTTATTGTGTAAATTATTTGTATCATTATAGGATGAATTTTCCCATAGAAATGAATAACTTGTAGACAATAAACCAAGTTTATCATATTTCTCTGTTGCGGATGTTTTACCAAGTTCTGTTAATCCAGTCAGTAGAAACATGTTTTCTCTGTAAAGAGATAGTGTAGTATAGTGTAAGTCACATGCACCTTAGAGAAAATCTCCAGTTATTTTCTCAATTTTTATCCATTCACTTTCACAATGTAGTTAAATAATAGAATAAACACTTTTTTTGATATTATTTATTTCTCCATGCTCCTATTGGCTGAAACATGTAACCAATCATTTCGAAGACACTTTATCAACGTACTAACGTGATACACTAAAATCGGCTAATTTTTAAAACAAATTAGTGAATCTTGATAACTTTTGTGTGTTAAAGAGGCATAGTCACAAGAATAGATACTACACATGATCTTAGCTCATAGAGACGAGAAGCGTCGGTAGCCTAACGGTGGAATGCTGGCCAATCATGCATGTGGCATGGGGTTCGATCCCCGGCCGACACACTCCTTTACCTAGCTAAGCCGGTAGTAAGACAGGTAAAGAGGGAGAACTGGGCATGAAACTAGCAACCTCATCCCGTAAAAATAAAAACACTGCTACCGAAACTTCAAAGCTCTAGCTTGAAGCCTTATGTTCCACTGGGGACTTAAAGGAATAAAATAATAATAAGCACAAGAATAAATATGAGAAAAATGTTGCACTGCTGAATAAAAATATACTATGTAGTTTCTAACTAGCCTACTAAAGTTAACATATGAACACGGCAGGTGTATTTGTCTATCTAAAACCTCTGAGAGCATAGGATTCCAAGAATTCAAAACTGCAGTCACTTTAAAATACAAGAATATCGCCTCATAAAAGATCAATGGAAGTGCTACTGTACTTGGAGGAATTGGCGTCGTTGTTCATACTGACGACAATACAGTACTTATAAAACGGAAAACAAACCGCGGTAATAGAAGAGCAAATCATGTCTGAGTGCTAGGACTGTAGGATACAAATCTTCAAAAACGGTTTTTAGAAAACATCCCAAACAGACGTGCTGATGTTTCAATACCAATAATACAACTAGTCCTCCCAGGCACTACCGTTCACACAGACGAGTTATTCGCGGCTATCATCATAAGGCTATATTTGTCGTGAAGTCAATCATTCTTCTAAATTAGTGGATCCTACAAGTGGAATATATATGTATATAGGATTTTTAAACAAATTTTATGCATTCAAAAACAATTCGTCATCACACTAAACTTTCCTTCGTAAACTTTGTTTTGACACCAGGGTAGATGCACTATTACCGCCCTTAATGTCAGTGAAAAGTTAGCGCATCATAGAATAGATCAATTTTAATTAAAAAACAAAACAATCCCAACAGTTCGTGCGATCACGGACAGTGTTTTGCCCGAAAGATTACTAAAAACAAAAACTTATCGTTGTGTAAACTGTAGTATATACTTTAGTTTATGTATACATATAATTATAATTATATATATACATAATTATAATATATTGCCTCCTTTTTTTGGTGTTGTGATCGTTGTTATTTTGACCTTCAGTATGTCCTTTTAACTTGACCTAAGTATATTTTCTCACCCCTTAACTCTTTGTTAATCTCATATATATATATATATATATATATATTCGAGTTTGACCACGGATTGATATCAATTAGAGAACCAGTGAAAAAGGGGGAGTAGTGGACAGCTGTGAGCATCGGATTAATTTTCAAGAGATAGGTATTTTTTCTGATTACAGCTTGATGCCACACCGTATTTTCAGTACAAGTATGGCATTTTCAGCATGGATGTCGGTAGCCCAAATTTTGCAGGCCGACCATAGATATCGGGTGTGCGTCGGTAGGGGACCGAACCCCGGACCATGTGCATGGTCAGTGAGAGTCCTAACCACTGTGCCACCGACGCACGTGGTTGTGACTTGCTACAGGGCGAAATTTCTTGGAATTCTAATGGGAAGTCTTCACCAATGAGGTGCACCCAGTGGGGAGTGAGGATGGAGTTCCCACCGATGACATTGGTTGGTGGTCGCTAAGTCATGAATTGAAAGAAGTTAGAATCCATGGGATGGCCACTGAGTCAGGTTCCAGTGGCTAAATGGTCTATGAGCTTGCCTTGTAACGGAAGGTCCTGGGTTGGAACCCTGGAAGTGGGTGCGTATTGCCGATGATTCCCAAACTAGGATGAAACAGCTGTCCACTACTCCCTCGTTTTCACTGGTTCTCTAACTGATATCAATCCGTGGCTAAACTCGCGTAAACAAATCTAATCCTTACAAACCAAAATCTTGAGAATATATATAAATATATGTATTCCTATGACAAGTTCATGTATGATCAAATTGTTTGAAATGTGTTGAGCAAATAAATTACACGATTCAAACAAATCACTTCTCATTGCTTTGTCTGAATATTTAATCTCCAGATTTTAATTCGAGAGAAAGTGACGAGTGCAGGTGTACTGAAATAAACTTATATAATATTCTTCCCTTTTGAGGTTTTTTAAAAGTTTCTGAATGATGGAAATTAACAGAATAATTTGATCGTTACAAACGATAGATATACCAGGTGCCATCCTGAAGTTTAAATTGCAGTTAACAAGAGTTTCACCGAAAGGAAGGAAAATCACCTAAAACTAGACTCCAGTGAATAGAAGAGTGCCTTAATTTGATGATTTTCACATACTCTATAGCTCCATCGTTTTCATTCTAAACAGATTTTTTTCAACATAAGCAATAGAAATTGTGCACATTGATATGTGTTTAACATGATTTCCTTTAACTATCAGCTTACCATGAGTATATCTCAAAAACTTGCGTATTTAACAGCAACCTTTGTGGAACAGTGCAAGTACATGAAATTTATTCGCATATAAGCAAATAGTTAAAATTATTTTATTTCCATTATGGCTCACGTTTAAAACTGAAGGAAAGGTTTGTAATAATAACAACAATAGGTTTATTCAAACAATGCTTTTGGGACATATATGGAATTTTCAGCATATAATACAATATTGCTTCTAATTTTCTCATTACATGGGCAATAATTAAAATAGTTCATTTATATTAATGATAATTTACATTAATAATATTGTTCAATAAGAAGTGAATATAGAAATAAATCAAGTGAAAATATTGACGATAATGTAACAATGAAAACAAAAGACAATCCCAATTACTTAGAGTCTGTCAGTAAGTTTGTAATTTCCTGTCTTACAGTTTTCTCATCATATAAAATGTTTCCCGGCTTAATAAGGTATTGTAGAGTTTCTGTACTCAGTTGTCTTAGCATACAATCTTCTATAGTTGCTTCTACGTCTACCCGATGAGATGCAAGGAGAGAGTTGTGTATGGAGAGGATGTTCACAGTCTAACAAGATAATTTGTTAACTTCTTGCAGGAATCCAAGTGTCTATCTACAATAGTATTAACCAGTTGGTTTAGAAACACCTCACCCGCCCTACTGACGACTTTTAGTGATCTTCGCAGTATAAAAAAGTCTTTTTTAAGTAGCCTGGAAAAGATTAGGCGGGAACGGTAAAGAAGTATAAATGGTAACTGTAGAAACGGAATGATAGCAGATTGTCTTAACTTCCTTACATAGATCGTCAAGCGAAATATCTTTCTGGAAGCTAACATCATACGGGAAGACCAGAAAAGGTGATCAGAGGAAATACTTAGTTCAAAGTAATAAATATTCGATTTGGTTTCAGCTTCAGTACCATCCATAATACTGGAATATGACAGTGATATAGACAAATCCATTTGAAAATTTCGTACTTTAACAGAAATAACTGAGTGACTGCATAGATCCTCAAATTTTCGGTGCTTATAATTGTCTAAACCTAGTCAATTTGATTATAATCGTTTGCAGGAAAAATATGAAACAAATGTGTTCGATTTGCCTTTCTTTTTGGCTTATTCTTCAGTTGGACAGAAGAATCATAATGGCTATGAGTTTCCCTAGAAACGTTTCTGCTCATTGTTCATCAGTTTTATTCAGTTGTAAAAATGATCACGTGAAATGTTGAGGCGGATTCAGTTTGCTAATTTATAATGTATATTATACAATTAAAATTGTTTTTTAAAAGTGGAAATTTAAAATCATTCCACCAACACATTTTTAATTAAACTTCATTTCGCCTAGATGATTTATTGTAATAGTTTTTGAAAAGTGTGTAAACACTTACATCTCTATGTAAATTTCCTATCACTTGAGATAATTTATAGATGTACCCTAGTGATTACTGTACAAATGTTGGATGAATTCCTTTGATTCCTTTATGGAAATTTACGGCGAATTATTACACTTATCTTCAAGTTGAATGGTTTTATTTCCTGTTTATTTCAAATATTTTATGGTCGAATTTGATAGGAAATTTTATCTGAAAAAACATTTTTGACACCAAAATATAATCCACTGTGTGGAAAGTGTGTTTCTCACAATGTTAAATTGAAGGACTATTATTGGGATTTAAAAAATGAGTCCTGGTTTAGAACATATCTATTTTTCATTATTGAATCACTTCCTTACTTCTTTCAAGATCAAAAATTCCCCAGTGCATTACGTCATCACTGTGCATCGGTAGCACAGCGGTTAGGACGTTCGCCGACCATGCACATGGTCCGGGGTTCGGTCCCCTGCCGACGCACACCCGATATCTATGGTCGGCCTGCAAAATTTGGGCTACCAATATCCATGCTGAAAATTCCATACTTGTACTGAAAATACGGTGTGTCATCAAGCTGTAATCAAAAAAATAAATAACTCATGTAAGCGTAAAACTTAAGCAATATGGTCGAATATAATTTCATATTAGATAAGTTTATTTTAAATATTACACAGTAAAGCTGTATTAAAACAACTGGATGACGTTTCGGGCATAAATTATTACGCATAATCATATCAACTGATTAGGATTATGAGCAATAATACATGCTCGAAACTTCACCAAGTTGTTAAAACAGCTTTACTGTGTGATATTTAAAATAAACTTATCTAATACGGAAATTCATTTATTCATCCTGGCATAAAAACCTACTTCATTCTTCGAATGCCACCATGTTCATAAGCTAGTGAATAGAAAGTTTGTTTCAAATGTTGAAAATGTTATTTTTTTTAAGTGAAATCATAGAAAAGATTCATCTTGTTTAACCATCTTATACCAAAATACATCAAACT